TGCGAAAGAAGTGGGAAGTAAAAGAGGATGAAAGAGGCTGGGTGACGTGTTGTACATGTATAATCCCGGCTAGAGACCCCAAACGGGTCTAGAGGTGTAGCAGCAGAAAGTCTAGAGATCTAGACGCATTGGAGTGCAGAGAGGTGATGGTGGTGATGAAGATGGAGATCGCGGTGATGATGGCGGTGGTGGTGAGTGAGTGAGAGTGAGTGTGAGTGTGAGTGAGAGTGAGTGTGTGCAAGACATGTAAAAAACATTTAGGTTGCTGTTGTCCTGTGATGCAATGCTGTTTGCTGTTCCATGTCATACAAGTTCAAACTATCAAAGGAGAAAACATACACCAATGCAAACAAAACAGTCACATGCAATGTCATATTGCAATGGGTGTAACCACAACGGGTAAAAGAATAGCTGGGTGTACCCGCGCCACGTCAGCCGAGAAGCAAGAGTCTGAAGAACATAGAGGTCTAGAGGTCGGGAAAGCGATCACAGAGGTCGGGAGCACGCATCTGAGAGCACAGTCATCAGAGCACGCATCTGAGATTTGCACTTCGAGGTTCACAAAGTGCTGTGTTTGCCATGAAATCTGCAGTTCGAGGTTCAAAAGTGCAGTGCCTGCCACGAAATCTGCACTTCGAGGTTCAGAAAGCACTGCGCCTGCCATTAAATCTGCACTTCCAAGTTCACAAAGTCCTGCGCCTGCCACGAAATCTGCCCTTCGACGTTCACAAAGTACTGCGCCTGCCACGAAATCAAAACTTCGAGGTTCACAAAGTATTGCACCTGCCACGAAATCTGCACTTCGAGGTTCACAAAGTCCTGTGCCTGCTGCAAAGTCTGCAAAGTATTGCACCTGCAAAATCTCAAAATGACCCACATGTCCAAAAGTCACTTCACTGCACCTGTCACGAAATCAGGGCGCCTCGAAGATCACCACCATGTCCCAAGTGCTGCACCTGCCACGAAATCTGCATTCGAAGTAAAACAGCTCCGATCCCTTGCGCTTGTCAGGAAAAGTTGACTTTGGACCGCCAAACCACGAGGTTTCCCTTGCGCCTGCCATGAAAAGTGACCACCATGTCCAAAAATGCGCACGGCGCCACAACGAGAGAGCAGTCGCGACAAGCACCCGCCGCGGCCAAGCAGAGTTTGCGAGCCTGCGCCGAAATGGGGCATGAATGTACTGCAAATAGCAGCGAATTAGCCGCACACCCCCGCGCAACACCTCCGATTAGACACCGGTGCTTAACTACATGACTACTACCGTATGAACCCCTAGTGTGTCCACACTGTTTGGTGAAAAAGTCTACTGTTGGGGTTGTCTTGTAGAACAAAGAGCTGGCCACACTGGCTGGCCACGCCCCTGAACTCTGAGTCCGGGTTTTTGCTGTTGTCCTCTGGCCGCGCTGGCCAACCCTGTGTCCTCTTCTTGTCCTCCTCTTGTCCTCCTTTGTCCTTTTGTCCTTCTCTTGTCGTCCTCTGGCCGGGCCCCTGAACACTGTGTATCCTCTTCTTGTCCTCCTGTTGACTCGTCTGGAAGTGCTGGAAATGCAACAGGACATGGAGAAACACCTGTCTAGGCCACAGGCCGGCTTTCGTGGGCCAGGACTGTACGGCGCCTGGCGAAAAGAATTCGAGTTGGCTTGAGCTAGCAATACTAATAAAGTAAGCCAATGCCAGACAGCAAACCCATTCCAAAGAGCAATGAACTCTAACAGTAAGTCCTGGCCTCCACATACAAAGATGGTGGAAGTGGTGGAGGAGGAATGGGGGCCACGAAGCCGAGGTATTGTCGCGAAATGTCGTGTATCGAGGCTGCAGCGCAGGATCTAAGGCTCTGATCCCGAGATCTGAAATCAATCGGGGTGATGACGAGGTCGCTGGTGCAAATGTTTGGCTGGTGTGTGGACTACTCCCTCAGAAAGTTCAGGTCCCACCTGAGAGTTACCTAGTGCAGTTCACCTTTGCATTTCAGTATGCCATGCTAAGAGTCACGAGTAGGGTCATGCTTTTGTCCTCCTCTTGTTCCTTCTCTTGTCCTCCTCTTGTCCTTCTCTTGTCCTGCTGTTGCCCCTGCCAACCCTGTGTCCTCCTCTTGTCCTCCTCCTGTCCTTCTCTTGTCCTCCTCTTCTCCTTGTCTTGTCCTCCTTTTGTCCTTCTTGTCCTCCTCTGCGCCCCTGATCAATGTGTCTGGAGCTTCTCTTGTCCTCTCTCCTCCTCTTGTCCTCCTCTTGTCCTTCTCTTGCTCGTCTTGCCCTTGTCTTGTCCTCCTCTGCTCCTCCTCTTGTCCTCTTCTGATCCTCCTCTTGTCCTCCTCTTGTCCTTCTCTCGTCCTCCTCTTGTCGTTCTATTGTCCTGCTGTTGTCCCCTGGCCGTGCGCTGGCCAACCTTGTGTCCTCCTCTTGTCCTTCCCTCCTCCTCTTTTCCTTTTCTTGTCCTCCTGTTGTCCCCTTGTTGTCCTTTTGCTGGTGTCCAGATGACAGCGTGGCAGCATGCAGACGTGACACCACCAAGCGCCATCAAAGGGCCCAATGTTTAGTGGGAAGGCGCCCGTTTTCGTTCTCAGTGAGTTCGTGTTGTTTTCGTTCCCTCATCCATTTCTCCTTTTCGTGTCCTCCTCTGGCAGACTGCTGCGTCTGCTGCGTCCGCACCGTCCGCCGCGGCACTGAACGCTGAAGCGCCGCTCAGCGAGGTTCGCGATCCTCAGCACGGCGGCGTCCCTCTTTTGGACGCTGGTGCTTCTGGTCTTGGTGGGCCGCCACTGTTTGAGGAAGAAGGGTCAGTAGTACGTCAGATGCAGATTTGGAGTGAAGATCGGGTGAAGCGACTGGGTTCAAACTTCACATCCGATCTGACAAGGTTTTCCAGCTCGACAATCAGTTCAAAAGATGCTTAGGGTGATCTTTGGTTTCTTTTATGCCTTTCGCTGCGCCAGGTCTTCTACATCTTTGGAATCATGTTTGCCCAGATCGTCACGGACACCTGCGAGCAGCCGGGGGGTCGGGGCAACTGCGTGAACGCAGGTTGGAAGGTTTGGAAGATGGGGGCAAAGAACGGCACTGTATCCCTCTCCAACAAACACCCAGACGCTCCATGGGACTGCCATCATATATGCCTATACATTGACCCCTCTTTCACCACCCCTGGCCTGATAGTCCTGTGCCAGTCCCATACACGTCGTGTCTGGGAAACATGGAAGTAGACGTCGTCCCCTGCTTGGTCTTCGGACAAGGCGCCCGTGCACGTAACGGCGGAAGACCGTGGTGAAGGGCCGAAGCCGTCAAAGGGCCAAAAGGATCCATTGACCTGGGGGGGGCCCTGCAAAAAAGGACAAACGGTTTTGTTCAAAGACCAGGTAGGTAGCACAAAAACGGGGCCATTTGATTTCCGCCCTTTTTCCTGGATACCTTTCATTAACTTTGACTGAAGGCTGGTCAGATCTCACTGATGGAGCTACTCGGGTGTTCTTTGAGGTTCTCAAGCCATGAGAACTTACTTGGGGTCCACGCCTACGGTACATGTCTTTTAGATGGGTCCACTACTAAACCACCCAACTTGGGGTAACCACTGTACTTGGTGACCCCCTGTCATTGTAATCCATTTCACTTACACCGGTTTGCCTCGTGCCGCGGCCGAGACGTGGCCAGGACCATTGCCGTCATGGAGATTACATGTCCGTGCCGAAGTGCCACGACAACGGCTTGACCACGCGGCTTCAGCTTGACCGGCATTGACCGGTTGAAACAGCGGCGGATGGCGGGTGGGGGGGAAACAGACCCAAATGCATTGGTTGGGGGTCTCATGATTCAAATTTACGCACCCTTTACGCACCCCGCATACTCCTTTTTCCATCAAGTTCTTGTCCAGGACAAGAAACAAAGGGACAGTACCCTTGCTCTCCCTGTATCGGTTTTGGGGTCAACGAGGCGGTTATATTCACTCACAAATGTCGGAGCCCGGCAAAGTCGAAAGATCCTTTCTCTTGGAACCCCAAACAAGGTCACTTTGCGCATACACTCCGGAAGATTAACATGGAACCTTTGGAAGACTGCTTGTACGCTCCTCTATAACCCACTGGTATTCAGGTCCAGTGTCAATCTTCCAGGATGCACTGCAGACTTGCCAATGTTCTGTCAAGGAGGGTGGATATATGTTGATATCTCTCCGTTTTGGACTTTGGTTCCACATTCTAGCTTGGGCATCGGTCACTTCACCAGCCTGAAAAACCGCCGGAGCGCGGGGATTCTCAGGCGGATTCCCATGGAACAAGGGAACTTCCAACAAGGTGGACTCGGTGGACCTACACGAATTGATGAACCAACAGAGGCTGAAGGACCCGAACTAGCCTATCCCAGTTCGGTACCCCAGTAAGGTCCTATAAGGTCACTGATGGGACTGGTATTCCGAGGTTGTTTTCGGTTGTGACGAGCCGAGCGTAGCGGTCAGGCCACATACCAGGGGGTCACGTTGAAAGAGGGTCCGGTGGTGGCTCGTCCCGGCCGTGGATCTTCGGAATCGGCACCCCGTCGAGTCCGTGACTGGTAGATAATTGGTCTGTCAGACCTCCGAACCTGTGCTTCAACCTTCTCCGCTCCACCGGTGGCCGAGAAGTCGGGCTGCCGGGGTGGTGCCAAAGGGGTCTGGCTTGATCGGCAGTCCGGATTGACAGTCCCATTAGTCGTGTCTATGGAAGCGGAACGTAGTTTGGAGGACCATGTTGCTCGTTTTCCACTTCCATGTGTTTGTCGGAGAGTAATCGAAGTGTTTTTTTCTTTCTTGGAGGCCATCGCCAGTAGGTTGGAGGCCATTACCGTTAAGTTGGAAGTGTGTGTGTTCATTCTTTTGGCCCCTTTGGCAAGCGCAAAAAGAATCGCCAGAAGGAACGTCCGCGCTCAGCTCCTTCACGCATTTTTCGGAACACTTCCAGAGGAGTTCACTTGAACAAACCGGGTGCGAAACAAGCACGTGCTTCGAGGTATTGGTTTGGAGTGATCGAAAGCATGCTGACACTCTTCATGGTGGTCTCTGGTGGTGTGCCTTGACAGAGTCGCTGGTGCCTGGCTGTGTGTGAAGCTGCCACGGCAGGTCTTGGCTTACATGGGCACATGTAGGGTCTGTCCGTTCTTACCTGTAACAGGACCCGGTTTCACAAGCAAATCACCACTTTTGGACACCTGCTACCTAACCATCAGCATCCCACTGGGCGAGTCCAGTTCGGATAGACCGGAGCCAGTCATGGCACCCTGCAGCGTCGCCCGGCGGACGACCGAGACCGGACGTCGCGTCGCTCGTGCCGGTAGCCGCGAAGGAGCAGGATCCGCCCATGGTCCGCGTGGTCTGGGGCGTGCCCGGCGTGCCCTATGTTTCGGTCCGTCAAGTTGTGCGTACGCTCCCCACAATCCACTGTGGTGGGAGGACCCACAAGCCATCTTGGAAGCAGATGTTGATCTTTCGATGTGAATGTTTCTGATTTTTGTCAAGGAAACTTCTGCTTGGAACAAGCAGTGCTTTTGCTGGTGTACCCTCCAACAAGGTGTGACCCTTCAGAGAACATACCCAGCTCCAGTCTGACCCAGCTCCAGTCTCCTGGTCCAGTCTGACCCAGCTCCAGTCTCCTTGTTCCAGGTCCAACTCCCGTGTTTCATGAGCGACCTGGACCTCCTGACCTGTAGGAGTGCCCTGAGAGTCCATCTCGACTTGGCTTTTTGGAGTGTAAGAGTCCAACCGTCAAAGCAAGACCATTCGATCACCCAAGACACGACAGGTGCTTGGAATAGGTTGGAATCCTACAGTCAGGACAGCTTCGATGTCAGCTGCTTCTCAGGTCAACTGGGAGGACATCATCCGTCCGCTGCGCCCCGTCTCGGCCTTTGCCGTGGCCTGCAGCTCGGCGCACTTCTACTCGCGCGACGCGCACGAGGAGCGGCGCAGAGGGCTGGGGTGGGTTGCCATAGACGGCCCGGGCGGACCTACGCCGTGTGGGTCGTGGTGAATGAAAGGGGATTTCTGTGGGTCGAGTGTTGATGTCCGAACATGGGAGACGTTCCCTGAAATGATCGATGGAACTGGATAAGCCCCACCAGTTTTGGTCTCAAAGCCATGCCCTTGATAGACTCCATGACCCAGTCACCCAGTCAGTGGCGGAAAACCTGCCCCCACCTGGCGAGAGGGTGGGTCGTCGGATCGTCGCGTAATCGCTGCTGAGGACGTAGAGCGGATCAGCTGCCCCCGGTCGCTCTTTTAGGATGATTTTGTTCTTCCGTTAGCTACACCCTGGAAGACTAACATGGAACCTGAAAATCCCTTGGTTGGTAGAGGAGCATCGTCTTCCATGGGACCAGGACGTCAGTGTCTATGTTAGTTTTCGGGAGTGTTTTCGGAGATAAAGGTGAAACCCGTCAGATTTTTTCCAGCGAAAGTGGCGCAGGTGGAGGAAGGGAACACTCCACTCAAATCCAACAAGTGGGTTCAGTTCACTGAAGCTTTTTTCACGGCTCGGGAGGGAAGGAGCCGCTCGGCCGCTCCGGCCCCGGTGTGCGCGGGGATTTGTGGTGTAGAGTGGGTTGATGAAATATATTTCAACGTGAAGTGTTTTATGCTCCAAATGTTGTTCTTTTAATGAATAAGTGTACATGTGATTTGATGATTGAGTGGTGCTGAAAGTTTGTTTATTAACATATTAGTGGGAGTGTGGCAGAAATGGGCCACAACACTAGAACTTCCACAGAGGTTCTGTTTGCCCCTAAAACGCCCAAACAATGAGGTGCTTGTTTACCTTTTCAGCCGACCAAGAATCCTTGCACGCAGCGCTCCCTTGCAGCAAAACCCATCACGAAAATCTCGAGAGAGAGAGAGAGAGAGCGACGGCTCGGGGGTCTCCATCTTCTCCACGGAGTCTCGATCGATCTGCAATCGATCGAGACTCCGAGGGGAGCGACCCACGTGGAGGTTTGGTCCATTCACGAAGCGACCACGGCGGAGGGGTGGTCGATCGTGTGTAGCGAACCAATGGGGAGACCTCCTCAGTTCGAGACCACAGGGTGTAACAGTGTGTAACTCAAACAGGAAGACCTCCTGGCTTCGGACGAGAGAGCCGTCTACCCCCAGCCAAGCGGCCGGCAGTCTCGATGGTGTTGGGGGGGAGGGAGACCCCCTCTGCAGAACAGTCACACATCCCAAGCGTCCTCTTTCGCAGACCAAGGACGCTACTAATTAGGGGCTCCTAGCCTTACTACTAGGAACAAGAAGCTACTAGGAACAAAGGGCATCGCTACAGCAAGAAGCTACGAACGGGGCTCCTGGCCTACTAGGACCTAGGAGCATTCTTACTACTAGTAACAAGAAGGCTACGAACGGAACAAAGGGCATGCATGAGCCCGATTCTGCAGCAGACCCGGTCGACACGACCTGTAGACCGGTCGACATCAGTTGGGGTGGTTCATCGAAAAGGGAACAATCTAGGTAAAAAGATCTTCCAGTTCGGAATCCATGGAGTGTTCACCTCTAAGGTTTGATCTTGTACATCGTCATCTCGGTCTTCACCATCTTAAATGTCGTTGCTGCCTCAGAGACTCAGATCCGGCTCGCGTTGGCTGAAGCTAGCGGTTTGGAAGCTTCGGAAGCATTCGGAAGCGAGGTGCTACAGGGGTGACAAACCGTGTGTCTCACTAAGTCACTAGGGAGACCTCCTGATGCTCTCCTGGCCCCTTTCCTGGGTAGACTGGTCTATTTCCCAAACCTTCTGGGAGGTCTTCATTATTAGCAAGGGACACGGTGGTATGGAAATCTGGATTATGGGCAGTGTCAAGGGTCGAGCCGAGGAAGCCACTTTGGACCATGTCACATGGACCTGCAAGTCTATTGTGTAGCATGGGCTGTTGAGCAGAGAGCACTTCAAACGTGTCGACCTTGCCTGGTGATGCAGTGCACATGTCGACCATGGAAACTGTGACTTGCCTATGAGAGTCGCTCCCGAGGCCCCCCCCCCAAAGGCAAAGGGAAATGGAAAGAAAACATTCCCCATGAACAGGAGCATGACAACTCGCTTCCCAGAGCGACCCCGCTCGCGTTCCCCCAATCACGTGACCTTCCAAAATGGAAACGGTTTGCTTGCTCAACTCAAAGCTATTGTGCTACAGGCTGAGGTTGAGGGTGAAGGTGGCCTTTTACATCAGTTGCGTGCGTTTGTTGCTTCATTTGCGTCTGAAAATAACAAGCCTGCCCCACAACATGCCCCGCACCAAATTGGACACCAGCAACGTTCGCATGAGCACCCCCAAACAGTCTGCCCAAACAGCGCGACCCAAGTTGACGAACAACTGGTGGCCCGAACCAACCACTTCAACTGCCAAGCTTTACGAGCACCTCCAATCAGCTGAGGAACCCCCTGGTAACATGATGTAACATGTCCATAGTTGACCTTCAACAAATGCTCCAAATCCGAGCTTTACCCGAAACCCACGGCATCACCAAAGCCTTCGCCTTGCTGACTTTTGGTTGTCACTCGCAGGAGCAAGCAGAACTGCATAAAGGACAAAGTCGATGGTGTAAACTGGTCAAGGGTCAGTGGAAAAAGCTTTGGGTTTTCCCCCTCTCTGCTGACGTTCCTCAGTGGCCTGTTGAACCTACTGTTGTCGATGCCTCTTCAAAAAAGCTGGTGGAAGCTGCTCTGTCTACCTACAGAGTTATTTTCCCTAAGCGGTTTCTCACAAATCCAATGGGACACTGCAGTCAGTTTCACCAGCGGGTTGCAGCGGCGATGCCAGATGGTCGGAGCTGAAGTTACGGCTGGACATCTGACTGGTGCGACGAAAGCAGGGAATGAGGGTGGCTGGATCCAATAGAATCTCTATTGGGGGCGAAACTTCCCTTATTCCCTACGAGTCGCACCAGTCAGCCATTGTGGGATTTTTCAAGATTGCTACATCAGCTGCCTTTGACCCCACTACCAAATCAGGATGGATGAACGGTGTCTTCCAAAAGGTTTATTTCGGCTCAGACGACAGAAAGACTACACCTGTCAAATGGATTCCGTTTGATCATGGGCTTGCAACATACCATGCTTGCTGGCCCATCAAGCAAGCGATTCTGGAACACTAGTATGATCCTAGACCCGAGGATGTACAAGTATATTTACAGCCTTCGGCATGCCGCCGGCCACCAGCTCGAGCCCGCATTGGCAGGCAGCTTAATGATACAATACCCTGCTCAATCATACTTGTTGGTGCATTGGAGGTGCACATTTGGCTGGGTGAGTTTGTTGATGTTTATTTCAAGGTTGTTTGACCATGAAATGGAACGAATCCGAATCAGAGGTTGTCTATTCTGATCCAGCGATCCGAACCGGCATGTCGCAGTCGAATCACCTAAGAGGAACCAAGTGAAACCAACACAAGCAATGCGAACCAAGACTATCCACAAAACATGACCTTGAAAACGATTCTTCTTCCAAACTACTTGGCCGTGTGCATGCTTTCCTTTTCAGATCCTTTTTTCGACCGTCTCGAGGGATTGCGACACGCACCAGATATTCTTTTTCACACACAGAAGGCTTCAAAGCGACCGAAGAATTTCTAGATCTGGCATGATTTGTCGTTTTTTCTCCAAAGCATTTGAAATGAAAGACCCAGAATGACATCGAACAACAATACCCTGCTCAATCAGACTTGTGGGTGCATTGGAGTTGCACATTTTGCTGGGAGAGTTTGTTGCTGTTGATTTCAAGCGAAGTCGTTTTACAACGAAATGGAACGAATCCGAATCAGAGGTTGTCTATTCTGATCCAGCGATCGACATGTCTCAGTCCAATGGTTGTCTATTCTGATCCAGCGACCTACTACCTACTACCTACTACGTACCACCTACTACCTACTACCGACTACCTACTACCTACTACCTACTACCTGCTGCTACTACTGCTGCTACTACTACTACCACCACCACTACCTACAGTCCAACCTACTACCTACTACGTACTACCTACTACCTACTACCTACTACTACTGCTGCTAATACTACTACCACCACCACTACCTACAGTGGGCGGGGAGGGGGGGGGCGTCAGGCTGTCGAAAAATCCGCGCGGAGAGACAAACCGTAGATTGAAACCAACACAAGCAATGCTAACCAAAACAATCCACAAAACACGCCGGCAGGCCGGCGGATTTACTGGAGCCCGTCAACAAGAATTGCATCGACACCAAGTGTGACATCTGCAGTAATGGGTGACGGCAGGGAAGCAGCCAAGAAGGTAGCATTGGCCCCGTCCATACATGATCCACACCTGCCTTTGATTGTTCCAGCTGTTGCAGAACTACTAGGAGCTCCGCCCCGGACCTCAACACCAAGCACCAGATCGCAGTGGGCAGTAGCACAACCACAAACACACAACCACAAACGGACCACAAACACACAATCACAAGCACACAACCACAGCCAGACAACCACAAACACACGGTCACAACACAACCACAAACACACAGCCACAAACACCACAAACACAACCACAACACACACACAACCACAAAGACGCAACCACAACCACAAACACACAAGAACAGACACACAATCAGAAACACCGAAACCACATGCTGGACGGACCACTACCGTCAGTTCATAAACGGATGTGTATTATAGGTGTCATGTGCGCTCCAAAAATTGTGATCAATGCAGCTACATTCAGTTTCTACATCATGTCGACCCGGAACCCGAAAATGTGTCCTCTTTCTCTTTTGCAGGGGATCCCTTCTCCACTGAGTCGCGCTGAGGTCAAGAATCCCGACAATGCTTCAGTAGTCAAGTCTCGCCTGTCTTGGCCCAGGCAGTCTAGTGTTCACCTTCTTAAAATTACGAAAGCCAGCCTTCGTAGAAGGCGCCAGCGGAGTTGTGTTTGGCGAACAAAGTGAGTAGTTAGGGGGTCTGGGGGGGGTGGCCCGCAAAAGGTACACGTAAACTCGGCACATGCTGGGGGAGGAGGGTGCGTCGAGGGAAGGTTTTTTGAGGTTGTGTTGGAGGTGATTTTTGAGGGGTGGTGATGCAAGAAATGCAATTTGCATCATTTGCATCATCTGAATGGAAAGGTGTAGTTGGCCTCAAGCGACTGAGGAGCAACGAGCTGAGGGAGCACGAGCACACTCACCCACCCTCTCCACCCATCTCCAGCGACTGACTGAATTTGGATGGGCATGGATGGGCTGAAACCCCGGAGCTCAGGGCGAATGGGTGAAGCGGAGCGTTTTAATGTTCATCAAGAACATCACCAACCTTGCCAGGTATAGAGACCCAGGGTAGCTATAGTGCAGCTACCAGGTATAGTACTTCAAGTTCCCTTTCCGTCAACCGCTCGATAACCTCTACACACGCACAGCAATCCACAGCTTTGAAGCCTCATGCGCGCGATACCTGGGAACAGAATTGTAGCTACCCTGGGTCCGTATAAATGCTATGTTGCTATACCTCTTACACACCTATACAAGTTCAAAGCACGAATGAGACTTCAAAGCTGTGGTTTGCTGTGCATGTGTGGCTCGAGAAAGCTGGGGGGTGATGCTTTACTGCTTTTGGAGCGGGTGGTGACGCACTCGCCAACTATGCCCTTCAATAGGAACTCGAACAGCTCAAAACCAGAAGATTCTGAAAATCTCAGGCCACCTTGAATTTAGCTTCAAAACTGTTTGCTTTAACAAAAGCCTTGTCACAGAGACACCTCAGGACCCTTGCTTCGCATATCTTCATTTTTGAGGTGGCCTGAACATATAGTTTCGGGCAGCGAGCCTCTGGTCCCAGGCCACCTCGAATTTTGGTGCATTGTTTGGCTTTTGCTTCATCTGAATGTGGATGGGAATTATCTATGTGTGAAATCGGTCGGGGGTCGGGGGGGAGTGGCCCGAGAAAGGTAAACGTAAACTCTTGGAGGTGATGTTTTAGTGATTTTGGAGCGGGTGGTGATGCAAGAGTGCATTTTTTTGCTTTTGCATGGTTACCTATGTGTGGGCAGAACAAGACATGAAGCAGATTTGACACGCGGCCGCAAGCGGCTGCGCGAGCTCATTTGATTGCTTCGACGCGCAGTTGTCGAGAAAGGGAAGCGCTGGCTTTCGTTTTGCAGCTTCTCAGGTGCTTGCTGGATACTGGTGGGATCTGCGCTTCAAGGCTGCTGCTTCGACCATACGTGTTCTCACTCGATATGGCAATGTCCATCAAGGACGGCTTCCGGCCTGGCCGCTCCAGAAAAGTGGATGGACGGGCACAATCCGAAGATCCATGGCAGAGTTCGGTTTCAGTGAACGAAACGCATGGCCGCATGGCACTGGGTCCATCCCCGTGCTGGAACGATCCGAATTCATCCTCAAAGTCTTCCCTCTGATGTGTCGATCGCCGCGATGCATCCTTTTGCAGAGATGTACCTGTCACTGCCTGCGGGGAGTCGCAGAGCTTGGCGGTGTTGTCAGGCGCATTTGTTTCACGGCTTTGCTACAGCAAATGCAAGGCGTCTCCGAATCTTGTCCTTTTTGCCACTCGAAACTCGCTTCGCTTCACCATGCCGTCTGGGAGTGT